TCTCTCTCTCTCTCTCCTCTCTCTCTCTCTCTCCGCTCGTCGCCGCTATTCTCTCCCTCTCTCTCTTTCTCTTCCTGTTCTCTCTCTCTCTCTCTCTCTCTCTCTCCTCTTTCTCTCTCTTTCTCTTTTCGTTCTCTCTTCCTCCTCTCTCTTCCCTTCTCTCTCTCTCTCTTCTCTCTCTCTCTCTCTCTCTCTCTCTCTCTCTCTCTCTCTCTTTCGGCTCTCTCTTGCTCTTCTCACTCGAAAGTCAAGTCTCTCTCTTCTCTCTCTCCTCTCTCTCTCTTCCCTCTCTCTCTCTCTCTCTCTCCCGTCTTTCTCTACTCCTCTCTCTCTCTCTCTCTCTCTCTGCTCTCTCGTTCTTCTCTCGCAGCTTAAGGTGACATCACACATAAGCGTATTGAAATAGGCGACACACAAAGGTAGGGGGGAAGGTGACGTCACAGAATGCGAGTCGAGCTGAGGTCACACAAGGCTATATTATTGCACCATTCTTTGACATACATAGTTTTCCTATATCCTAAAGAGATTTTACGAGTCATGTCCTGATGCTCCAACCGCGTTCTTCTAAAAGAGACTTGATTTAATGAAACGATCGTTGTAATGATATTAATTTACTTTTCGCCATCACGTGATACGGAAATGGTGAAAACAATAACAATTCTCACGGGAACGTATCATACAAAAGACTTTACAAGCATTTTATTAGAAAAAGGAAAGACAAAAAAGAGAGAAACGTACGTTCGTAGAAAACAGAAAATGATAAACCGTAAGCTCCGCCTCCGGAAATGACGTCAGAGTCCAATTTTCTTACCTCTTTACTTTCGAGTTTTATTTCAGTCAGTCAAAAGCAGAGAGAGGAGGAACGCACACGGAAGGAGAACAGACACATTAGAGTGAAGCATATTGGAGAAAATTAGGAAAAAGAGACAAGGAGAAGATAACGATACGAACAAAAGGAAATGAGAATCAAGATTCTGAAAAAAAAAAATAATAAACAGAACAAAGAAACAAACAAGTGGAAAGTTACTTACGGGGCATCTAGAAAAGACAAATTCCCAGCCAGTAAAAAGCGTGGAATAAAAAATCAAACAGGAAAACACAGCCATAGACAAAAAAAAAATTATAGCAACAGCTCCAAAAGACACAAGTAACCGGAGACGCACCCACGCGCACAAACCACAGAGTAAACCCGCAAAGGCGTTAAAGAGGATAAAATTTGTGAAAGACCTTGTATACAGACTGCCTAGAATAAAATCAAGAAAGACTGGAGTATCTAAGTAACTCATAAAATCAAACTCAAAAACACCACACGCCCACTCATACCGGAACCAAAACAAATTAAGACTAATTTGGATAATAATCACGGATGAACAAAAGAATAAACAATACAAGTCATGACTACTCCTTCGCTTACTTTATTTTGCCAGTTATTATTCGTGATCATTCTAGTCTATCATTCTCTATCTAACTTAATCACACCTTTAACTTATGGAAATTAGATATGTGTTTATCGCGACACCAAGTGAAGATTAATTCACACTCCTGTTTTTTTTTTATTTTGGTTAACTAACCCCTTTTTTGCTTCGAATTTTGTTTATTAATGCAACTATTATTACTTATTTTCGCCATCGCGGCAACCCGAGAGAGAAAAGTGTAGAGAGAGGAGAGAGAGAGAGAGCCAGGAGCGAGAGAGAGAAGACTGCAGAGAGAGAGAGACGAGAGAGAGACGAAGAGAGAGAAGAGAGAAGAAGAGAGGAGAGAGAGCAGAGAGAGAGAGAGAGAGAGAGAGAGAGGAGACGAGAGAGAGAGAGAGAGAGAGAGAGAGAGAGAGAAGGAGGACGAGAACGAGAGACGAGAGAGAGAGCGAGAAAGAGAGAGAGAGAAGACGAGAGAGACGAGAGAGAGAGGAGAGACTGAGAGAGAGAGAGAGAGAGAAGAGAGAAAGGGGAAAGGGAGAGGGAGCTGACAGAGAAGATGAGAGAGAAGGGGACGATAGTTGTGATCGCGTTATCACTCAATCGTAAAATCACAGACTGTGTGATAATGTGTGTGTGTGCTGTGTTGTGTTGTGGTGACTGATGTGTGTGTGGGTAGTGCTTTGTGTGTGTGTGGTGTGTGTGTTGCTGTGTGTTAGCTACAGTTTCGCCAAACAGTGTGTGTGATGTGTGTAGTGTGTGTGTGTGCATATCATATGTATGTACGTAAACCACACATTACACAGACACACACACCACACATTATATACACATATAGTATATATCTATATATATATATATAACATATATATTAAATAATGTGTGTGTGCCTGTACACGTCACACATTGACAGCCTACTGTGTGGTGTGTGTGATGGTGTGTGTGTTGCTGTTTTCATGTGTCGTGTGTGTGTAGGTGTGTGTGGGCTGTGCTGTACCGTAGCATAATATAACTCCCACATATATTAGTAGGTATATATACTAGTAGATATATAGGTATATTTATATATATATGTCGTGTGGTGT